TACTATAAAAAAAAACAAACAGCCGATCGCGGACATACACCAAAGCTGAACAGGGCAATAAAGCTGTCAACAAAACAATTCAAGTATAACAAACCGAGACTAAATAAATTTGACACTTAAGACATAAAACACTCATAAACTAAGAAAACATAAACAAAGTAAAAAAAGCACTCTAATCAAACTCCATGGAATTTGTAAACACATTAGACTTTATACTAAAAGTAAAAAAATACCCCCCACTGGCAACTGCCTAATCGCAGCGATTGCTCACCAGCTGTTCAACAAGGAGATAGGTTCGCTACGCGAAACTGAAACAACAGCATGCTGCAGACACTGCAGACACTAGACAAATATTAAACAACCACTTACGTAATCTCGGAACGCACAGACCCTACATCGAGGACGCAATAAATGAATTAAGCAGTAGTTATGAGCACATATGTGACAAAACAGAACAATTAAGGCGTACCTAAACGACCACGGTAAATACGGCTTCTGGGCCGGTCTGGAAACAATACTAGCCGCCTCAGACGTATTCAGCGTCGCAATCGAAATTTACCATGAACAGGGCGGGAAAGACAAGATATCTGCGAGACTGAACGACAATTCCCCTACAATAGCAATATGCTACAGACTAGGTACACTAGGGTTGGGAGCAACTAAGCAACAATAAAAATAAAATAAAAAAAACAACTGACACACTTTACCAAGTGCAGGAACTATCTGACACTGACAATGACAATAATGAATAAGACGAAGACCTCGACTAGGAAACTACACCCCTGCAGCGAAATAACAACTCCCCAACTCCAAATAGTAATCCCAAATGTTTGGAGTAATACTAATCGACTGGTCTAGGGGGATTCCGCGTCGTAAGTCGGCGTAATTGTCCCCCAAAAACCGTCCCTCCTCCACTATACCCTACTGAGCGTATAGCATAGGCTCGGCGAACCCTTAATGGCTATTAAAACTATTCGCCTGTCGCTCTCGAGCCCCAAATAGGGGACAGTACGGAACGCAATGGACATTCGCACCCAGCAAACACGGGTGAAGCCGTGCAGTTGCTGGGGAAGAACAAAAATCGGCGTAAGTAAACATAGGCCTGTACGGGGTTCGAGAGTGAAGAGGAAATGGGGCTGGTTATACGTCTCTTATACTCATACTCATACTCATTAATAAAAAGTATTAGCTACACAGTTTATTTGTCGCATTTTTTCTCAGTGTACATATGCATATGTATATATATATATATACATATGCATATGTACACTGAGAAAAAATGCGACAAATAAACTGTGTAGCTAATACTTTTTATTAATGAGTATGAGTATGAGTATAAGAGACGTATAACCAGCCCCATTTCCTCTTCACTTATACACACTGCGCCTCGTATGTAGGCAAGACAAATTACATTTTCCTGCGCCCTCTATTAAATGTTTGTTATATTAAACCAGAGAAACGCGCAAGTTGCACGGCGCAACCGATAAATGTTCTGTAATTTCCTGAATTTCTGAATAATGATGTTTAGTGTTCCGTCACAAAACTTCTGTGGTTTGACAATTGGAGAACTATAAACTCACTATCAAGAAATTTTTCTATATTTCAAAATGAAATGTGTACTATTGAATACCATTAAATAAAGAACTTGTGTACTTCACAGCAAACGAAAAATTATAGAAGTGTATAGGATGACTCCGCGTTTGAATATCAAATCTTAAAGTTTTATCATAACTGTATTGAATCGTGCTATGTTTTTATATTTTTCGGCTCTATACCTATGCACGACTATATTTAAAGTCAAACTCAATGGTGTCTTACAAGATACATTATTTTGATTTTCTATATTCAACAGAGAGATAGAAACTCGACCCTGTCGAATGGTGCAGTCATTTATGTCTCTAGAAATTATTAAAAAAGGGTTCAGTCCAATGGTGCAGCAACTTCGGATTCCTATTCTCCTCAGAGACATAGAAACTCAAGCTTTTCGAATTTTACTGGCAATGATTTTCGTTAATGTCCCCGAGAATTATACAAAAACAGCGCAATGCAATATCGCAACGGTTTCGACTTCTCTTTACTCTACCAAGTTATAGAAACTGGAGTCTCTCTAATACTGTTCTAGTCAATATTTCTGAGAGTTTAAAAAGAGGGTGTAATATTGCAATTGCAAAAGATCAAAACTTCTTAAGAAGTTTTGATCTTTTGATGGATGAATTTTCTCATTTCTCCATATGATTTTGTTGAAAATAGTTCCTTTCTTTGGTTCCTTTGTCTGATTTTTATTTACCGTAACAACTCAGGTATGTAAAGCACAGATGATATGATGTTAAGTATATTTATGTATTATATAAAGTACCTATATTTGTATTAAAAATTTCAGAGGTTATGTTGAATAAATGATCGATGTGCTATTAAACTTTAATAATTTAGTAATTAGCCCAAGCAGCATTTTTGGTTCCAAAAACCATTGCCAAAGTGGTGATAACTTTAAATTAGTTAAGTATACTAAACAGCTACTTTAATTTTTACTTAAAAGTAATTCTAACTTTTAAATAGCAATATTTTGTAACAGAAACTTAATTTTTCCTTAAATTGTTACTATAAAGTAATAAACATTTAAGTAAAACTTGGTTGCCCCCAAGAAGACTTTGCAACTTTAAAAAAGATGTTATAAGTAAAAAAAACTTTCAAGTAAATTTAATTTGTAGCAGTTACTTTCGGTTGCTACCTAAAGATTACATTATAATTATTTTTACTTTGTAGTCCCTTTGCAAGTTAAAATCTCGAAACTGGAACATGAGTTAAAAACTACAAAGTTAATAACTTAAAAGTTATTATTTTAGTATTTGGAACGTTTATGGTACTAACCAAAACAACCGTAAAGTGGAAAAAACTTTAAAGTAGCGAAAACTACTTCAAAGGAAAATGCTTCTTATCGGCCATTTTTTACTGTACAGTACCACGTGGTAATGTAAATAATAAATTATTTTAATTGTTTGTAAATGGTTGTTTACTTTTTAATAAATAGAAATATTGTTGGTAATAGACGGTATTAATAATTAAATAAAAAAAATAATAATAAATATTAAGATTTTTTTATTTATAAACATTACTAAATAAATAATTTGTTTATACTTAAATATTGATGAAGCGCATTTATTTTACAAAAACTAAATTCATAAGTTCAACAGTAAAATTTAAAGGGTTTATAAATCTACCTGTCTAATTAAATATTATATTGTTATTCTGGAAGTTATAAACTACCAGTACATATTTAATAAACGACGACATTGAAAAGCCAAGTCCGTAGTGGTTCCATTTAAAAAGGGAGGGATAGTATAATCTAATATATGTTTGACAAAGACAGTTAATATAGAAGTAAAAACAAATAATAAAAGTAATTATAACGCTCTAGCAACGATATTGGAACGTTCTAGTAACGTAGCAGCTACGTCCCAAATAGTAGCAGGGTTGGTAGCTAGTGACATATTTGCTACCTTTTTGGAACTCAATAATTGTTCCCCACTTTAGTCGTAACGTAGTAATGAAAGAGTAATATAAAGAGACCGGCGACTGTCGCAAAACACTTTGAAGTTTCTTCAATAGTCCCATATACGTAACAAATACTTAAATTGTTGCTTGGGAGGTCTGTTGGTAGACCCTGCACTACCTCCACTGGTATATGTTAGTTTTGTAATATTTAAATCTGGTACGAAAAAATGAATTAATGGCCCATTGGCAATTATTTCTTTAGGAAAAATATTCAACACAGCTTAATTAATTAATAAAATGAAAAAAATCACAATCATGTCCTATATAGTTTTTTTTAAGCATAAAATAATTTTTATATTAATACTAGTTCAAAAGTGAAATTACGACCTCTATACTGTGGAGAGTATTGAAACGCTCGACTGACGAATACAACTCTATACCGTAGGGAGATTTAGAAAACGATATTCAAACGTGGCGTCATCCTATACACCTCTATAATTTTCCGTTTGCTGTGTTACCATTAAATTGAGAACTTGGTACCACTTTTTGTTTTGTTTCACCTGGCAACACTGTTTCTGCTTATCATAGATAATAGTATATTCTGTAGTTTGGAATACAGCATATTTCGCTCGAGTGAAGAGTTTGTCACACGAGCCGAAGGCGAGTTTGACGGTTTCACGAGAGCGGAATATGCAATTCCAAACGTGTTTCAGACTATGCTTTTTCTACGTTTCCAAAAAATTGGAAGAAAGTGAGGTTGGATCGGTCTAAAATTTGTTAGATATTAAAAACAGAGATGTCGCCGCCAGTGTTTATTCTGTCAAAGGATGATAGAATATTTCATTCTGTAACACTTTATAGAATGAAATAGAACTAGGAGTAGAAAATAGTATATTAAAGTACAAGTTGCAGAAGGCCACATATTCTCGCACGAATTCGAAATTTGGCCTCGAGCGACGAAGGAGCGAGTGGACGAACGAATGAGTGCGAGAATAGCCTTCTGCAACGTGTGATTTATACTATTTTCTCGATTTTAACTTTTATTTAGGTTTTTTTAATTGTTTTGTGGTCGTTGTTAGTTAGGGGATTTTTCTCGCAAAATGTCAGTTGGCAACACAAAATGACAATATTTGTTATCCTGCACAAGTACAACCTGAACTGCACTTTTACACATTAAACTTAAAATTTTGCATTAAAATGCATTGTTGGAGCAAACTTTATATTACAAAACAATAATAAAGGCTTCATTTTCAATAAAAGTAATGAATTTGAGGTTATTAATCAGTTTGACATTTTGGGGGTACCAATACTTAAAAACTAAATGTTACCAAAAATCGTTTAAGAATGAGCTTCATTCTTCAACGATTTTGCGTGCGAGAATATGACATTCTTACATAAAAATCGAGAAACAATATTATGCAATATTTATTTTTATAAAACATAATTGTTTGTATTTGGTGTTTTTGCATACTAATATATTATGCATTTACTTAATAAAACAAAATTGTATAATTGTATTCTTTTTATTGAAAAATTTCAACAGCCTTCAAATACAAGTGTACAAGAAAATTAAAAATTAAGGAGTGAATAAAGTATTGATTGTTTTTATATTATTATACACTTATATTTGACAAAATAATAAATAAATTTACCAGTAAACAGGTAAATATTGCAATATAAAACATCTCCTTATTTAATAAATACAAAAAAACCAATTATGTACGGACAGTCACGAAATTTGGATTGTAAGAAAATTAAATACCTAATAAAACTCTTGATCACACAACAATCATACACACAGTCATCACTTGGCTAAAGAGGTAAAGTTCAAATTTTCAGTCTTGCACCTACAACTCGTCCTTGAGATCTTCATCTTCATCATCTCCTCCAGGACTTGGAGGTGGAGCTCCCCCAGCGCCTTGGTACAACTTGGCAATGATTGGTTGAACCACGCTCTCCAATTCCTTCTTTTGCTTTTTGTATTCTTCAGCCTCTGTGTCTTGGTTCTCTTCCAACCATTTAATCTTCTCGTCGATGACTTCCTCCATCTTGGCTTTTTCGTCATCGCTGACCTTGGAGCCAAGTTTTTCCTTGTCTTGGAGTTGATTCTTGAGGGAGTAGGCATAGCTTTCGAGTTCGTTTCTGGCTTCGACACGTTCCTTCAGTTTCTTGTCGTCATCGGCGAACTTTTCGGCGTCCCTGATCATACGATCGATATCGTCTGGAGTAAGCCTGTTCTGGTCGTTGGTAATGACGATCTTCTCTCTGTGTCCGGTTCCCTTATCTTCAGCGGACACTTGCAAGATACCGTTGGCATCGATTTCGAAGGTGACTTCAATTTGTGGTACACCACGTGGTGCTGGTGGGATTCCGGTCAAATCGAATTTACCCAAAAGGTGGTTGTCCTTGGTCATTGGACGTTCTCCCTCGTACACTTGGATGGTGACGGTGTGTTGGTTGTCGGAAGCGGTGGAGAAGATCTGGCTCTTCTTGGTTGGAATGACAGTGTTTCTCGGAATAAGCTTGGTCATTACACCTCCTACGGTTTCAATACCCATGGTAAGTGGGTTAACGTCAAGAAGTACAATAGCGTCGGTATCTTGTTCTCCAGAGAGTACACCGGCTTGGACAGCGGCACCATACGCGACAGCTTCATCTGGGTTGATTCCTCTGGATGGTTCTTTGCCTCCAAAGAATTCTTTTACAAGTTGTTGCACCTTGGGGATACGAGTGGAACCTCCGACCAAAACGATTTCGTCGACATCTTTTTTGTTCATGTCAGCATCTTCAAGTACTTTCTGGACTGGTTTCAAGGTGGATCGGAAGAGATCCATGTTTAATTCTTCAAATTTGGCTCTGGTTAAAGCTTCGGAGAAATCATCACCTTCGAAGAAAGACTCAATTTCAATCCTGACTTGATGGCTTGAAGACAAAGCACGCTTCGCCTTTTCTACTTCACGACGCAATTTTTGTACAGCACGGTTGTCCTTGCGAATATCCTTGCCCTTCTTTTTCTTGTACAATTTGATGAAGTGCTCCATTACACGTTGATCGAAATCTTCACCTCCCAAGTGAGTGTCACCATTTGTGGCTACTACTTCAAAGACTCCATTATCGATGGTAAGGAGGGAGACATCAAAGGTACCGCCGCCCAAATCGAAGACAAGCACGTCTTTTTCTCCGTCCTTTTTGTCCAAACCGTAGGCAATAGCAGCGGCAGTAGGTTCGTTGATGATTCTCATCACGTTAAGACCAGCGATGGTACCAGCATCTTTAGTGGCTTGACGTTGAGCATCATTAAAGTAGGCGGGTACAGTTACGACAGCGTGGGTAACCTTCTTACCGAGGTAAGCTTCAGCGGTTTCCTTCATTTTACCCAAAACCATAGCAGAAATTTCTTCAGGGGCAAATACCTTGTTGCCCTGTGCAGTTTCCACTTGGATATGCGGTTTGGAGTTCTTTTCGATTACTTTAAATGGGAAAAATTTGACGTCTTGTTGCACGCTGTTGTCGGTCCAGTCACGACCGATAAGACGTTTGGCATCGAAAACGGTGTTTTCGGGATTAGTGGTCAATTGGTTTTTGGCAGCGTCTCCAATAAGACGTTCGCCATCAGCAGTAAATGCGACATAAGAAGGAGTGATACGGTTACCTTGGTCATTGGCAATGATTTCTACTCTTCCGTTTTTGTACACTCCAACACTGTAAAACAAAATAAAAACTTTAGTAATTTACTATGAGTCTCTATGTATATGATCATCATTTTAAAACCTTAAAACCCACATTACTCTTTTAATCTCCCAGTGCCCCACTCTGGATTAATATAGTTAGTTTATTATGAATAAGCTAAACACTGCTAGATTAAGAAAGTAATGTGGGTTATGAGGTTTTAAAATTGAATTTTATTTTTTTATTTGATAATATGTGCTGTGGTGCATTCCAAAACTTGGCCTATCCATATTAGGTGTTTTTGAGCAAAATGTAAAAAACCTTACAGAATTAACACATATCAGGCCAACAGAATACTTTAAACGAAATATATATGCATAAGTAAAACATTTATATACCTTGATTAAAAAGGTATAGCTTCAATTTAAAATAGTTTAAAATTACATTTGTATAAGCCGAGTTTTGGAACGACAGGTAATTTGTAAATGAATTTTAAATGGAATAAGGTGAGTTTTAGAATATTATGAACTTTTCAGGGTATAGGGGGCCACATGTTAAATGTACAGACACCACTAACTCATTTTTATTAAAAAGTGGATAAGCCAAGTTTTAATAATAATAATTTCTTTATTATGCATAATAGCAGTTACAATATAAATACAATGAAGAATAAGTGCGCGGGTTTGGAGAGTACGGTTGTCATAAAATTGTCTTTATTATGTTGGTATACATACCCCTGAAGAATTAAATTTTTTTTAGATTTTTTCATTGTTTACTTTGTCTGTGGCAGCCGCTAAGGTTAGACGTGTTTTTATTGTTGGAATATAAACAAAAATCAATCTAGTTTTAACTGTTCAGATTAATTAGTCCAAGGCCCCGATATACAAGGTGTCCCTAAACTTATTGGCATAAATTTAGGAAAATATTGAGTTGAAAAACTGAAAAGGGCATTCCATGAGCCTCGGGACTTTTTGCCCTGACCGTCACATTAAAAAAATTGTAGTTTTTTCAAATTAAAAAATTTGTTATCATATACCTTTTAGTCCTTAAATGCAATATAACAATTATTGTAAACTCGAATATCTCGGAAACGGTTTATTTTATCGAAGTTTGAGAGGTACACCTTTTTAATAGTAGCCGAACTGAGTAATCGAAAAATTGCATCAAATGGTATAAAAACCTAACCTCAAAGTTTCTATGGGACAATAAGCTTAAGCAACCCCCGTTTCTACGACACTGTGTTCACTCAAACAAATATTATTATGTGTTTTGGTAGTAAGTGACTGTTCGCAAAATATCATCTTTCCAAGTCTACCATAGTAGAAGTTATATTAAAAAAATTGATATGATAAGTAACACTTTATCACCCTGTATCTTTTAAACATACGTAATTAGGAAAAATATTTATTTAGATTTTCGTCTTATTTTGACTTGCTTAATCTGCTCCTAAATTTATGCCACTAAGTTTAGGGACACCTTGTATATTAAGTTTCATAAACAAGATCATGAGAAGGCAAGTGATTAAAAATGCTGAATAAGGGTTTATTGTTAAAGCTACTCTTTCTTTTTAAATAAGTTAAGTTAGTCGTAATAGAGATGTATAGACGGTACCTTCTAAGTGCTTTTCACTTAGAATAAATATTGCATTAAAACTAATTATTGTGTTGTTATTTTTATCCCATTAACCAACATTTATGAGCTCGGCGATTTTCGTTCGTTAAAAGAAATGGATCAATGAATTTGTATCAAATTTTGCGTAAAAAAATAAAATAAAGTGTTTGAAATGTTAACAAAGGCCTATGGTGAGTTTATAAGTGACATATTAGTTTCCAAGATGGCCGTAAAGACGTTGAAGATGACGAACGACCCGGACGCCCAAGCACATTAACAACCGATAAAAATATGGAAAAAGTGGAAGAAATGGTTATGAACGATCACCAAATCACAATCAGAGAAGTCGCTCATGATGTTGGCATATCGATTGGCTTATACCATGAAATTTTTTCTATTGTTTTGGGTATGAACCGCGTGGCATCAACATTTGTTCCAAAATTGTTGCATTTTAAACACAATTTTTTGCCAAAAACAATACTGTAATGATGCCCCAATCTACATATTCGCCAGACATGGCTCCGTCTGACTTTTTCCCCAAAATAAAGAGAACCTTAAAGGGCCGTCGTTTTGCAAGCATAAATGACATTAAAAGCGCATCGCTGAAAGAACTAAAGACTATCCCAAAGATCGTGTTTGAGAAGAGTTTAGAGGAATAGAAGAAGCGCTGGCACAAGTGCATAATATCTAATGGGGACTATTTTGAAGGCGACAACTTTAATGTAGACTAATAAATAAATATTTAAAAAAAAAAAACGAAAATTCCCGTTATTTTCTGAACACACCTCGTATGTTATAAAACATTAAATACAAGGTGCGGCAAAAAGGTTGCCCCATTTTCAAAGAGTCATTGTTCGGCTCGAGGGCTTTCTATTTTTTAAAGGTCCATTAATTACGTGAGGGTTTTTTTTAATACAATTTCCGGGCAAAATTGTCTCTTTATGAGGTGATATTGGGTGGCCTCCGCGTTCGCCAGATTTGACCCCTTGCGATTTTTTGTGGAGGTATCTAAAATCAGTTTTTAAACATCGTCCACAAAATTTGGAAAATGGAACGAGTCAAGCAATTAACCTTTAAAAATGGGGCAACCTTTTTACCGCACCCTTGACTTCAAACATCCAGAATATGTGACACATAATTTTTATTGTCTATGGTTAATTTGCAATATTGATTTTTCTGAAAATTTTGGATTGAAACATTTTTAATAAAAATCATTTTTGGTCAGTTTTCATTCAATTGTCATTATCTTTCGAGCAAATGATTGTTATTATCAAGGTAGGTAGAACTCTCTTAAAGCCGCTTTACACGATGCAAGTTTAAGGCAATGCAAGACACTTGCAAGGCCTTGCGAATGTCTTGCCTGATCGTTTACATGAAGCAAGTTTGGCGCAAGAGATGTTAAACGTCAGTCTTAATATAATAAATTATGCAAGTTATCAATGAAAAAAATAACTATAATTATATGTTTGGCAAGTTTAAATACAAAAAACATACAAATTATACACAGGATCACAATACAAAATAAAAGAAAACAACTTAAAACAATAAAAAGTTACCAGACTTGCAAGGATCTTGCATGGAAAATAGCACAGGTTCTATTTATTTCGTCTTGCAAGAGTGTTGCCTGGGCGCATGCGTACAGTTACAAACTTTCTTGCATTGCTCTTGCCTTGCATGAAACTTGCGTCGTGTAAAGCGGCTTTTAACTATAAAATAGTATAAAAAAAATAATAAAACGGCGATGAAAAATGATTTTTGTCAAAAAATTGAAAACTAAAAGCTTTGAACATGTCAATAGAAACGATTACTTTTGAGAATTAAATATTATTTTTAACCCGGAGAACCCGGAGATTTTATTGCGAAACCCGGAGCCTGGAGATTTTATTGTAGACCAGTCACATCGCTTGAGCTAACAAAAACTTTTTAAATCAAGTACAAAACCTCTTTTTTACAAAACATCCAGATAAAAAGATAAAACTGCATGAAAAGAAAGTACAAGCTATAAGAAGTATGTTTCCCTGGATGCCTAAGGTAGATCAAGAATATTACAAAGCGATTTTACCAAAGTAGAGCAGTTCAAGCGTTTAAACGGGTAAAAAAATTAAAAAGTGATTTTACCAAAGCCAAGTGGTTCAGAGCAAACTAAAAGGGCAGTAGTTAAAAACTTGAAACAAAAAAAGTACAAACCACACAAAAAAATCAAATACTCATGCTAATTTCTATTAACTATGTATTTTTTTATTAGAACATTTGTTTAAAGTTTTTCTATCTTAAATAGCTTTCTTTTGTAGTTTGTATTTTTTTCAGTCTAGTTCTAATTTTAAAAATTACCTTAATTTAATTAAAATATCATAGTGCTATGTAACGTAAATAATCAATAAATATAAAAAGGGTTTTTTTTCAAAATTTTACTAATTTCGAATATAACAATTTAGTCAAAATAAACATGGGAATTGACCAAGATTGCATATAAAATAGGCTCAAAGCAAAATCACAAGTGAAAAATATTGACTGTATGTAAAGGCTGAAGAGCATTTTTTGTTTTACGTTTTACTCAAAATATGTAAATAGTAACATGCAACCTTGTAATATTAGGGTGACATAATGGAGATCTAATCTATGCCTGGAGATCTGACAAGTGTGCTGTTTGTTGTGTGACGCATATGTTTGAAGTTTGTTAACAACGCTTCCTACTAGATGTGCAATGATTCAGTATTATTGCAATCAAAAGTGCATTGATCAGTAACAACATATTGTCAGTATACATACATTTTACTGCTTACTTAAAGTCAGTATTTTTTGTTGTGCCACTCTTGCAGGCTGCACATTGCAGTCAAGGTTCGATAGGACATATATGTATGACACACATTTATGCCAGCTTTAGGTTGCTTTTTTCTATGAAAATGTATAAATGATAGGCTCAGTACCATCCTTGCTAAACCCACAAATCTTATTTGTGCCAATGTTGCTTATCTCTCTATTTCAACCTATATGATGCTAAAATCTATGAGTAACTTTTGACAATCGAAACATTGTTTATTCTTTATTACCATTTTATTTTGCCTCTTATTTTATATTGGGGGTTGGGCGAAGATGGCACTGAGCTACTCAAATAATGTCTGTACATTTTGACAAAAGCATACAGGGAACTCAACACAAACTAAGCTTAGTTGGACATAACCTAGGTTATGCCCAAGATTATTTGTAATATGAAAATGTTTATGGCTTAACTTACCAAGAATAAGTTGTTCCCAAATCAATCCCAATTACAGTTCCAACTTCATCTTTTTCTTTTTTGTCTTCTTTAGCCAGAACTGTGGCCAAGAAACATAATGCCCCCAAAGCAAGATGCAACCTCATTTTGTGGGTTTTTAAAATCCCTCCTGAAATAAATAAAGTTACAATATGCTTATAATAAATTATGAGACAAGCATGGTAATATAAGAATATCTAATGTATCTACAACAATAATTTTGACACGTCGGCACGATAAAATATGTCTAATTAACCTTAAATCCTATCAAAATGAAATACTTTTAGTATTTGGGACCAGATAATAGGTCAAAAAATAGATTTAACCAGATTAAAAATCTAAAATGCCTACAGACGGCGTTGATTAAAAATTATCCGGCAAATGGAAATATTTAACTAAATAGGTACTAATTCTTTTTAACAAATAAATGTTATAAATTTATTAAAAAAGCATATTGATGCTTACCTTTAAATTAAAATTACACTATTCACAAAATATATAAAACTTCTCGTATCCTTTAATGATTTAGTACACTCTCTCTTACGTCTTTGACTAATCTGAGGAAAATTATTTGACACACTGAATATATGTATAGAATTTCTCGTGTTATCTTCTTATTGGTCGATATTTGAACGAGTCAAATTCTGATTGGATGCGGCAACTTTTGTTGGCCGCTTTCGATTGGCCCACGTCAAAATGCTCTAGAAAGTGTTAATCCATGATCGTCAATGGGAATCGTTTGATTTGCTTTATTCGAACAAACTTTACGCAACGTATGTTCTAGATTAGATCAGGCTGGAAATTGGAAAAGGCGCTTAATTCAAATAATTGTCTTTAGTGGTCTGATTTGCTTGCTAAGTGGGACTCCCACTGTGGACATTATTTAATTCATAAATTATAAAATTAATTGTGGTTTATTTATAAATTAAGAAAAAAAAAACAAATTAATAGCATGCTGTACGGATATCTAAATAAATTTGTGCTCGCTTGCTTGCGTTAATTTTCCGTTACATTTCTTCGTTATAACTGTATACAGTTAAGCGTAAAACACAATCCTATATATAGGTAGATAGCGATGGGTCATACGACTCTTTTTAGCAGGGACCCGGACCAGACCGTTTTTGAACAGAAAACCGGACCGGAATTTGTGGTCCGGAACCGTAACCGAACCCATATTATTTTTAAATGTAACCTAACCCGAACACTTTAAATTTAAAACGGTTTTTAGGTTATTTTCGGTTTTAAAATTTAAAAAAATATATTTTGTTTCGTTAATAAAATCTATAAAATTAGTTTTTGCAAAAAAATATTTGAGCACGGGATATAAATCTATAAATTACAGCGTTGCCAACCCTACGGATTTTTCCGTAGATCTACGGATTTTAAGGGTCCTTAACGGATAACCGGATTTTGTCTGAAAATCTACGGATATTTGATAATTATCGCATAATTCATAATTACTTGATATTTTATAATATATAATATACATATATGTATTAAAACCTGCGACAAGTAAAAAATTGCTTGAACCCCTTTTTATATTTTCTAACTATTTCGCTCCGTCCAGTAAACGGCAGGTATAAAACCTTGCACTGAACGTACTCATGGAACGTTTCATGGAACGCACTCATTAGTTTAGGAATTTTGTTTGTTACCAGAAAAAGTGCTGTCTGTCAAAAAGATGCTGTGAAAAAAATGGCAACTAAAGTTTTAAATTTGTTTTGGTATCTATTTACATTTAAAAGTTTTTTATGCATGTATCACACTATTCCCAGATAGCACAAGTACGTTCGTAGGACGTTCGTAGGACTTCCACCCAGGACAACCCGAACGTCCTCAGGATGTCCGGGGTCTGCAAAAGTACGTTCGTAGTACGTCCACAGACTTCCGAAATAGACTGTTTCAGATGTCCTCAGGACGTCCGTATTTGACCGTCCACAGACTTCCGAAATAGGATGTCCTCAGGACGTCCGTATTTGACCCCAAGCTGTCCAATTCGGGACATATGAGGACCGAATTAGGACATAGTTTTATTATAATAGGGAAATGTAATACAGTGTTAACAAGTGTTTTGTTAATATATATGGGTGATTCTACTGAGAGTGTCCGATATTGCCATCAATTTTGTTTTTCCTAAATAGTTTAAAAACTGAATTTAAATCACTCCATTGGCTTCTGAAGGCCCATTTAAAAGCCTTACCACGAAAGGCCGAGATCGTTTTAGCAATTTAAGGCTTTTTTTTCAACATTTAATTTTTAAGAGAACCATGTAGTTGACCAGTGTCTAGAAAGTTGACAAAGATTAATAAAATTGGTCGTTCGAAACAAAAAACCTTAAGAATTAAAATTTTGAATTTGAAAGGTTCTAGTACAAAATAACAATTCCACTTGTTCAGTAAAAAAAAATAAAAAAAAACATACTTTTTATGTTTTTATTTAACAAAAAAGTTTTTCTAATGTAATACAGTTCGCATATATAGCATAAAAGTACAAATTCAGGTAGTATGTAAGGAACTAAAGAAAATCATTAAATAAATAACTATCTGCCTAGATAAGGTTTAAACATAAACAAAAAAAACCTAATGCAACTAATTAAGTACTATCACATTATATCACTTTAATGAACTTAAGCACGTGAACGATCCCAAAGACTTAACATTAAACTCGAAGACCCCTCTTCTGTGCGCTATTGGTTGACCAACATTAATTTTTAAGAATTTTAAAGGAACTTTTTCCACGTCATCCTGCTCGGGCCACACAAATAGCAAGTCGGATTTTCTCGATGAAATTTTTTTCATAAATTTCAACTCCGCTTCTCCAGTGTTAATGGAAAGTATCTGACCAATATAAAAGACCTATAAGAATAAAATGTCAGTAAAAAAAAGAGAATAATATGTACTTTTTACATTTGATTCACATGGCCACTCTGCAACAACAAAATTGTTTATTTTCATTGAAGACGTGAAATTTTTGGATATATATTTTTCCTCGCAATCCTCGCTCAGTTCATTTGATGAAGAATCTGAATAGATTTCGTGATAATTAAATTTATCTTCCACTTTAAAATTAATAGTTCCAATATGAAAATGGATACACTCCGCGTCGAAGCCACATTCAAAACAACTAAGTCGTCTAGCATTTATTGAATATCGTCTGCTTTGTGTCCATACTAGTTGATGAACTTTTAATGTGCCTGTGAATGCTTTTAAGTCCTTTGGAACAATGTTCCATTTATCAATATCCTCAGTTCTTATGCAATGTAAATCAACATTTGGACACTTTTTTTGAATTTCTGAATGAAAAATTTTCATATCGGTAATATCTTTGCCACACGCTACCAGCTGGTCAGCCGAGCGCTTAATGGTGCCACCAACTCCGTCTACAGCACCTTTTCCATGCCCCGCTTCTGAAAAGTTCCACGACATCTGTTCCACATTTAAAATTTTACTGATCTGTTTTCCAAACAACCAGAACATAGATTTATTTCGGTATTGCGTACTAGGTCCATCACTGATAAAGTGAATTTTTTTAAGACCATGGGGGAAAGTTTTTTTAATTTCTAAAAAAACTGGCTGCAAATGAGCCATTATCGCCAGTGGACTATGCCTCAAATCTTCTGATAGAGTGCACATTGCTTTATGCTCTAAAATTCGGTCTCTATTGAAATAGAACACTATAGTGTGCAAGGATATTTGGCATTTTGATCCGCCAAAGTGCGCATTTTGAATTTCTCTGAAATACTTGGTGTTGTAATTTTCCGAGAAATCTATGTGAAGAATAACTTCATCAGGTTTTAATTCTTTTTTTAACCGTCTTATCGCTTCCTGCTGGTTAATTATGTTGGCTAGGTGGGTCATGTATTTTTTTAGAGAGTTTTCTAACTCAGATTTTAATTCACATTTTTTAACAAACTTTTCTTCTTTAACAGTTCTTGAGCAAAGCTTCTCTTGATCTTTAATTTTTATTTTTTCTGTTTTAGTAACCCACTTTTTATAAGTACAAATTTCATTCCCCTTAAATTCTTCAAAATGTATGTTTCTGCTTTGACATTTTACACATGACCTTTCCAAACAACACCTTGTCAAGTCGCAACAAATTTTTTTAACCAAATCATCAAGGCTTACATAGTCAATCATTTTCAATATTTTTAATTTAGAAAACAGCAGGTGCATATTTTCGTGTGTTGTGCACAAGCATGTCTCTCTCTTTTCTACTTTAGGTATAACGACCCAAAAGGGTCTTGTTTTGCAGAAATAGGCATATGATATTTTTGTAGAAGGATTTTCTGAGCAAAATTTTATGTATAAATTTTTTAATGTATCACAAAGGTATCTCAGCTGTTTTTTCTCTTTTTTAAATGTTCGGCTTTCTTTTTTTCCTGCTCCCATCCTACTTACAGAATCCAATTCATAAAAATCTATCACTTTTTGTCTAAGAATATCGCGATTTGTTACTCTTTTTTTAATACTTCTAAATCTGCTTTTTCCAACAATTGATTGTATTTTGTCAGAAAATTTATATTTTTTTATTAATTTACCTCCGACATTACGCCTAAATATTTGTCTAGAAGTGAAGGACTTAATATTTTTATAGTTTTGTTTGAGTTGGGCCAACACAACTTCGCCGAATAATAATTTTCTCTTAATTTGTCTAGTAACTGTAACATTTTTTAAAGATTTTTTTACAATACTATTTGGAGATTTTTTTTTTACAGTCATTTGATTTTTTAGTCTATAATATTTTTTTTTATACTTTTCAAATTTGCGCACATAATTATCTTTTTCTCTTTCTGTCTTTTTTAATTGTCGGTAAAGTCTACTCCTGTTCCTCTTTACCCTTTTCCTTCCACTGGCTTGTCTGGATGTCGAAGCTACTGGAGTTTCTAATAGTGTATTTGCAGTCGTTTTAGTATTTTGAATCAGAATTTCTTGTTGTTGCTTATTTCGCGCTCTGGAGTTTCGCTTTGAAACTCTCCAATATTCTCTTTGACTTTTCTTATCTCTTCTGTTCATTTCTTTAATACCTTTTACAACTCCCTTCTCTTTCATTGTTTGCCATCTCTCCCTAGCTTTTGCTTTACTTTGTTCATACTTCTCAGGGTTGTTTCTTATTCTTTCGCGCCTTCTTCTTTCAGCTTCTTTTTTCTGCTGACGTCTTTTCTCATTTTTTTGTTCAATTTCTTTATTAGTTCTTGCCATATCTGTTTGGAAACATTATATTAATTATAAGGTGTCAACTATATGGTCAGTTGTCCACTACATGGACAGACATTGTCCATGTAGTGGGCACCCATGTAGTGGACAAATTTATTTATTTTTTAGAAATATACTAGTAAAAAACGTTTGATGCAATAAAAAGAAAAAAACAACAATCAACTAAGATGAATAAACAAATAAACACAGATTACTTTGATTTAATATTTTTATTAGAAAAAAAAACTTGGCCATTAAGTTGACGTTGCAAAAAGACACGCTCTTACCTTTTGAGGTTATTTGATTCGGGACTTCCACCGGATAAAATATAAACTTTCCCCACTAGCATCTTCCGAACACTGACGCT